TATAACATTTTTTATAAATTAGATTATCTCCTTTTAATTTTGCAATAACTAATCTCAATAGATATTCTAAAGCAATTATTTAATAAATTAGTATATATACAGTATAGTAATAATTTCATATTATTCTAAATATATATTTTGTATTGTATTTTTGTATTCTTATGAAAAGCGCCTTTGAATATGAATATTCACGAAAAGAGCACTATATAAATTTGGTAAATAAATAAATAAATATATAAATATAAAAATAATTTACCCTTCCAGCATCTGTATCCATGTAATAGAGAATATTTTTGTCACTAGACATGGAAGGTAAAGGAAATTGAATGTCTGTCTCTGTTTCTTTCTCAGCTTCGATGCGGACAACTTGTACTGGAACTACGTAACCGGATGGAAGACAGCTGTAAATTTTTAAAAAATTAAAAAACGCATTGTCTTGAAGGCCATTGTACACAAAAGCAATCACTAGATGCAAGATAAGTCAAATTAAGTTTTCAACAAACTGAATTTTGTATGATTTAATTATATTTTTTATTTTAAAATACCAATAGCAGACTCAAATGTATTTAATCATTTTACAAAAATTGTATAAATGTGTAACATTATTATAACTAAATTAATTTTATTATGCATTACTAGCAATGCATAATTGCATGCAGTAAGCAATCACTTTTAATAACAACAGCAACATTCAAATATATTCGGCAAGTGAGTAAATCTTTAGTAATACATTTCAGACATTCTCTCCACAGAGACATTGCTGACAGCAAAACATTTTGCACAATTTTTGCATTAGCACAAGAAATCAATAATGCTCAATGGATGGCCAAGATCTAATAACAGCAACATAAGTACAAGTCAATATTCAGGTTTCTAAAGAAACCACAAAACATTTTATGCATACTCACTTTTTACTTTCATCTCTGACACACATTAAGGATGGGGTAATCAAATCCATACTCCATTTGTCTGCTGGTACAGCAACAATGGAACTCTACAACAAGGTTATAAATATATCCATTTATCACAATAAATATATATATATCCATTTATCACAATATATATATCCATTTATCACAATATATATATCCATTTATCACAATATATATATCCATTTATCACAATATATATATCCATTTATCCATGTGTGTGTGTGTGTGTGTGTGCGTAGCAACATAAATAGGAGAAACTAACAGTGGTCAAATAGGAGCGTGATGTTGTAACTGTATCAAGCATAGCCCTTCCATGAAAAGTTCCTTATTTTTAGTTGTATGAATAAAAGTATTTCTAGCAGGATTTAGCATTATGTTTTCTTAATAAACTTCAACTGAAAAAAAAATTTAAAAATTGGTTTTTATTTCATTGTGTACAGCTTCTAAAGCAAAAATTTACAATCTTGTTTAACATTAGTTGATAATGTGTTCATGTAATTCCAGTATGCATGCCGTTGCGGTAACTTGCCGCTTGCTTATGAAGTAGGTACGACCTAGCTTGCCAAGTGTACTGCTGAGGACCATAGGTCAACGGCCGTAAAGTACCTTGTATGTTCAACTAGAATTCAGTGTTTAGGCAAATCCAACATCAAATTACAAAATATGATGTATGTATTTAATGCTTGGATATTATTCAAGAAAACAATTTAATGTGTTTATATTCCAAATAAATGGTTAAGAGAATTGCTACTGCTGCATTATAAGCTTAGTATTGTGATGAAATATACAATAATATTTTATTCATTTATTATTAAGAAATGAAAAGAAATTAAAATTTAGACATAAAAATTCATAAAAATTAAAATAAAAATAAAATGGAAAAAAAATGTATAAAAATAAAATGCTGATTGGTCAATACTCAAAGATCATTTCAAGTCATGGTCATACTAAATTACTTGAAGTTATAGTTCTATGGTAGAATCAGGATTACTGAAACTCGCTGAATGTGTACATCAATAAAAAAAAAAACAATATTTGGAATTACATGTCTATTTCAATCAAAATTGCAGTCAACTAATTACATTATTAGAGCATTAAAAAAAATCATGGTACATTATTCTTTAAGTCTAATAGTTACACAAAAATTATATACATATTTAAAGATAAACTTACAAGAGCGAAGACAAAATTTCGACCATATTCAGAGAAACTAGCGCTGAACAGTTTTTCTGTCAAGTTGAATACTTTCACACGATTTTGGGTGTCCATCACAACTCCTCGGCACCTGAGCAAACAAGTTTGACACGTAAAAAATTTAATATATTTCAATTAATAATAGCAACAATGACAATTGATTTACACTTTTATCCTAGTAATTTGTAACAGATGAAAAAAGTGAAATTTAAAACCAAATGCAGGAAATGACTGTTATAATGTTTGATTACATTCATAAAAACACTTTTGATAAGTCAAAGCAAGCTAATTAATTAAGACCAGCTGATAACAATGGAAAATTGACTTACAAGAAGTTACAATTGTAAATGACAACATATCCTGACTGCTGCCCATCAGGAAGTGTGATATCAAACCTGCCACGGTGAGCACCTGGACCTCCCCCATAATACTCGATCACAAACACATAATTGCCGACAGAATCTACTGGATACGATACATTTATATATGGCTGCAAAACAAGTACAATATATATAATAACAAGAAATATTCATTTACAAAAAAGCACCACAAAAATTTGTACCTATATATTTGTTAAATTTACACCACGAATAGTGTGAAATAGTGGAAAAAGTGCATGCAAGTACGACTTGATGATTATGCAAAAAAATGCAAGAAATTTGCTACAAAACACAATATTTATTCCATAATTTAAAGATGTACGGTCCCTTAAAAATGACTAAAATCATAAAAAAATAATTAAATTAACTTTCCTATTTTGCAGTTACATACAAATTATTAACTTGAGCATAGAAATTATTAAATTTAAAAAATGTGTTCCCATATTTTTTAACTGGATAATTATAATAAAGATAATAAAAGACTTCCTGTGACTGGAAGTGTTTCTATCATTTTTTCGCTGTAAAATGATGGTTTTTATGGGTAAGCATTTTTTCAACACACTAATTTCTATGTTCAAGTTGATAATGTTCAGGTTACTTCAAAATGGGCAAGTAAATTTCAAAATTTTTTTTTTTTGCAAGGGACAGTACAAATAACACATGTAACCACAATAATATTGGCTGAATGGACTACTACACCGGGGTAACCCCCTACTCTTCTCAAAGGATGTACTGGGTTCTTTAAAGTGCACACAAGCCAATTGAGTACACTAGGCCTACAGTTTAGAGTCCTTATCCACGAAAGACTTGTTCCACCAAACCAAATCCATAGGCAAGAAATTTGGACCTCTTATCTGTGTGCACAAATAGTGACGGCATTCAATTTTTGAGGCCAAGTTCTTGTCCAATCGCAGCAGTCCTTAAAATGATAGGCATTATACATTTAGGAAATACCAATATTAAAGACATTTTAAACTCGCACAAAAGCATAGAGCTTTAAACTGTAGTGGCCCTCCATATTCTAACTGTTGGTACACTACATAATGGTGTTTTACCTGATCTGGACTTAAGTAAGCCATGGCAGAGACACCTAGATCTTCCAATATAGTGATATCAGAGAAGAGGTTGGTACGTTCAATGTCACCATTATCATTTGTGTAGTAACCGGCCTGTCCAAGAAGTATATCAAATTGTTCCAATCTCGGAAAAGTATAATAATTGCACCTATCAAGAACAATTCATGAAAATATAACCATAAAAGGAAATAAACTAACTATAAATATCAGCAGCCACTATTAGAAAAACACTACTGATTGAAAATGTACTTTGAAGATGGCCATGTTTGAAAGCTTTTTACATTTTTAAACTGGGCTACTGGATAGCAAATTATAAACAAAAAAAATATTGAAAAACTGTGAAAGAAGAATTGGTCAATATTAAAAAGCTGTTGGTCCTGAAAGGACTTGTCTCAAATCGTGTACAGCTCATAAACTTTGTACTAACCTCTCTTGATCTTGTCCTGCTACGCATGGTTCAGTGACATCGTATTTCAGAATTCTGGCTTCAAAATATACTGACGGCAGCAAAACAAGGTAATCCTACACAACCAAAAGATATTCCAAAAAACATTATACATCTATGATTTGCATTCTACTTTATGACCTCTATTAAATTGATCATTTACAGTGGCTGTCGACTGGTAGAAATCCTACTCATCCATAATCATCGTATTAATTTGAGTTAGCAACAAAATTTTGTGATGATTTACCATCTAGACACGTGCACAGATCTGGAAGTAATATATCGCAACACCATTCCTTTGGTCGTTAATATCATTGGCTCTTTTATTAGTTCCTATTTATGTCCACTAAAATACTGTAAAAAAAATTATTTTACGCAAACATGATTTCGCTTTCGTGAGTGCACACACGTTCAGCACAAATAAGCATGATTTGGCCCCACCGGTAGGAGGCAGTGGATGTGTACTGTTATTGCTTAAAGGGCGTTTGCAGTTGAAAGTCCTCATTATTTGATCCGACAACTTTTATCTGTACTTCACTGTTGTAGTATTATTTTGAAGATGGATGATAATTATAACTTATGCAAGTAGATCATGATCGTTATGGTAGGAAGCTGCATCTTTACTCCAACAAATTCCTATCTGTGCTTTTCAATGAAATTCAAATTCAAAATTTCGCACAAGTAAAATTTTTTCTTAGACGTAGTCGACTACATTACCAAAATGAACCCCTGCAAATTAACACTACGAGGCTAAGTGTATATAATAATAAGATAACTCTACTGTGCCACTACTTAATTTAAATTTCCTTGCAACACTGCATAATTATTGTTACGGAGAACACATTTACCTCATACAAAAAAAGTTGCACTTGTGTACAGCAAGTTTTAGAGAAAGACTGGAGAACTTACCAGCATTACACCTGAGGGAGCATCTATAACAGCACGCCAGTAGTCCCGGTTTAGCACGAAAGGTGAAATTACAAAGTTACCTTCAACAGTTACAAGCTGCGGTACACCACCAGTTTTAAATAATATACGAGACTCTTGCTCTGAACCTAATACAAACAAATCAATCAATAATGCTTACAATTGGTACAGTCCAGTTTAAATGTGTTCTGCACCTTTTTCGATGAGAAATTTTTAATAAAAAAGCAAAAGGATTTTCTTTTGGTGGTATATAAAAACAGGGTATTAATACTAGTTGTTAATACCCTGTTTCTATAAATGATGTGTGTGCCCTTAATCTTTCAATTGTTTTCGAAAAATCATGAACATGTAAGGGAGCACAAACAAAAAGGGTTATACAGTATATATATAATAGTATATATGTATATATATTTAACACAAATGCAATGTTACATACTTGTTTCCATGTTGCGGGGAATCATGCGAATTGTACCATACACAGGTTCAGCGCCACTGTACATGTAGCGAAGCACAATGCGATAGATATCTGGAACTTCGACAGGTATATTTAAAATAACGGAAGGCTAAAAACAAAAAATAAAAAGATTTTACCATCAATTCAATAAATGTACACCAACAAAAACATGTCCTTCCATAACAAAACTGCTAATGTGTTATAAATACATACAATATATAATTATATTTGCACTTCATAAGTAAGAACAACAATCATAATAATAATGATGATGGTGGTAAGGTGTAATACATAGCTTAATAATAGCTAATATTAATACAGGTCTCCCTTCAATTTAATACCACTTTTGGGACCAGGGTTTCGATGGTTTTTAGCAGCTTTGGTCTCTAATTAAAATAATAAAGATGAAAACCATTTGTTAATTTTGGGATCACAAAAAAGTGGTCTTTAATTGGAATTGGTTTTAATCAGAGGGGTCTTTAATTGGAGGGAGAACTGTAGTAATATAACACCATCTTTAACCACACGCACACATTCAGAACATACCTGCAGATTGTCAGACATTATAGCATATCCAATGTAAGAGAAGTCTGGGAAGATGGTTTGATCATACCCAATACGTAGCTTGCTACCATCTGTAGTTTGGCCCAATTCAATTTCATACTTGTATTGGTAAAGGTCAGCAAAATAGTGAGCAAATTCTGGCCTGCAATAAACACGATATAACAGGAATTTAAAGATATTTCACATATTAAATATTCAAACTATAAAGTGATAAAAAATTTTAAATTCAATCACTGGAACTTACTGATCACAGTTCTGTCCACGAATCCTAGGTTTGCAAATGCAATTTCCAGTAAATTTGTTGCACACATTATTTACAGCTCCACCAATATCACAATTACATGCTGAAAAATACAGTAAAAATGTTAATTACTCTTTTTGCATTTTCTTAAAAAGTGATAGTTTAGTTTTTCTACACCAGATAATTCTGTCAACAAAAATTTGGAAAACCATCTATAAAAGTTAAAACATTGAACAGCAAATTGCGAATGAAATAAGATAAAAATCCAAAAATATGCCCATTTATAAACTTATTTTTTACTGACGATTGGTCAGCAGTTACAATTCGTTGCCAACAAAATATGTCTTGTAGTGCCCTGCTTCTCAAACTATGGGTCGCGCCCCAAGTTCCGGCAGCAGAAAAAAATTCTGAGGGTCACACGTCTGCTTCTGAGAAGTAGAAATGTAGTGCATCAATTGCTGTAGCAACAGTCTATAATAGAAATTACCCACCTGTGCAGCCAAATGAATTTCCTTCACTAAGCTGATAGGCACCATCTTCGCATTCATTACAAATTCTACCACTGGTCCGAAGTTTGCAAAAACATTGTCCACTCACCTTAAAATGACAAGTTTAAAATTTTATTCTCACATACACGTCAGAACTTTATTTATTTAAATTAAAAAATTGCCTGCAATTTTAAGTACTGTACTTACAGTGTCGCACCTGTCACTACCAGATATTGTTCCTGGAGTAAAGCAATTGCAGTTCTCACAACCATCAGGGTTGCTCGATTGAAGATTCCAGTATAACGGTGCACATGTATCACATGACCTCCCCACTACATATCTCTTACAGATACATGCTCCCTAGAAACACAGACAAAAAAAAAGGACATTATTATATCATTATGAAACCGCCCTTGTTGGTGGACTATTGACAACGAGTGCACTTAGACTTGGGGGTCTGAGGACTTGTACATATCCCGAGGGGTCCGCGAAAGTTTAGAAACTACTGCTCTAAAATAATGGCATTGATGAATTTAATTGACCCCTAAATGACCTAAATCAAATTTGATGTTCTTTAGTTGTTTTACATTGTTTATTCTTTAAGCCATTCCGACCCTCAGATGGTCGGAATAGCTAAGAATAAACAATGTAAAACAATGTCAATAATAACCCTGAAAAAGCTTAACCAACTCTGCATAACAAGTATTGTCAGATGTTCTCTAGATATTCCAGATAGAAGAAATAAACTACAATGAATACAGACGAATGTGCACATCGCCTCTCACACCCTATATGACCAACTATTAAAGACGGCTGGAGTGGCCCGCTACCATCGAGCATCGGTGAAAACGCTTCACAGATTCTGACGAAGCCTGACTGTTTGCCAAGCGAAACTGTCAACAACAAAAAACAGTGAGTAATAATTGGTTTATCACAAGGAATTATATATATTTATAGAGAAATATTAAACAAAATAATCTATAAAACACTTCAAATTTCCAAACCTTGGTCTCAGCACCACAGCCACCAAGAGGTTGACCAGCAAGTTCTTGTACACCAGCTGGAGCACAATCACATTCTGTTTAAATAAAACAAAATACAAACTTTTTGTTAATTCTATTACGCCAAATTGTTTTACATCCCACCCTCATTAAATTTTGCCACCACATATTATATTGATATATTTTCCAAGCACAACACATTCTTTGTCATCACGATGTCACCTGCTGCCCACCATTTGGTTAATTTTTGTTGTGCGGTGGTGAGCAAACATGTGCTTCAGCGACAGCAGCTAGCTCAGTGCAACCAATAAAGTTTTACCAAATAGATTTATTATATAAAAAAAAAGAAACCCTCATGGTCTCATTCTAAATAAGCCCAACAAATTAAAATTTGATCCTCTACACATACTGTAGAAAAAATTGCAACCAAATACACATTTTGTATTGGGTTTCCTATTATTTCTGATAAAGCTTTTATGTGAAGAAAGGGTATGGATGCACATAATGAAACAAAAGGCCAAGTACCAATTAAAATTAAAATACAATGCGAAACTGAAACAAGCATCCTATTGCTGCAGCGGTTCGATACGAATGCCTTTCATACTCTTTTGAAGGGCGCCCTCTAGTTTGTGGTGGTACGTCTTTTGCAAGATAGGATTCTGTTTCAATACTCTTAATGTAAATTAATTTGCCCAGGTTTCGGTTGGTAGAACCATGTCTTCTCACAAAAAGACTTAAAATGGAGGTCCACTGTATACATTTGGCTCGTGTACACTTTAAAGAACTCATTGCATCTTTCGGAAGAGTAGGGGATTCCGATGTTATGGTTTATTTAAGCCTGTTGTGAAACAATAAGCGCCTCTTTAAGGCCACCAGATAGTTACGGACTACGTCCATATGCAATTAAGCACAATGACACTGCAAGTTATGGGTTATTCTCCTACCTTTACCTATTTTTTGTCATAATATGACTTCGTAGATACTACCTTACATCAAATTGACCTGGCATACAACAAGAAAACTCGCATATTAATTTTTTTTTTTACCTTCACATTTCGGGAAGTTATAAAACCCTTGGTTACAAACATCACACATGCGGCCCCTATAATTTTCCAGACAGTCACATTGCCCAGTAAGCTGGTCACACTCTAGTGAGTTTGAACTGAAGAATCTACAGCCACACACTGTAATTTAACAAGTCATAGATATAACAATAAGCATTTTTTCTGGCACATAGTTTAAAATAAATTACAAACAACATTGTAAATGAATGAGAATTATTGCTACTCACATAAGCATTCTGGGAAGCGATAATATCCGGTGTTACAAGAGTCGCACTTCATGCCACCAAAATTTGCCTGACAAGGACATTGACCTTGATTGTTACACTGGATTAGACCACCAGTCCCGGATACGTCACAACTACAAGCTAATTCAATGAAAATCAAATCCACTATTATTAGTGCCGGTACATTCACAAAATAATTTCAGTAAACAATGAAATGGGTGGAGGCAAGGTACTATTTCAGTTTATGCACAATTGTATATTCAGCTCCACATCAGAAATTCAGTACCACTGTAGCTAGGTTCATATGGGATTATAGTCAGATGAATTAGCTGATCTACTTGCCAAGTTAATTGGATTAAATCCACTATTTGCGTTCGACGTTAAGGTTTAGAGCGAGATATTTTGACTACCAGAAATTCAGAAAACACATCATTAGACAGGAAGTACAATCGCATGGTGTGTAATTACTGTTGATTTTCGCGCGACTAGTTTATGCTAGATCGAGACTATAGGCGTAAACTAGGCCTAGGTCTCGGCGGTTGATTAGACTGGCCGAGGAGTCTAGCTGGAGGGTTTACACTGGGTTTTCCCCCAAGTATTTCGTTTAGTTCGTGGTAGTGTGGGCATGCCAATTTCGGGTCATCCCTTATTACATTGGCCGACCCCTTGCCCGTCCTAGGAATAAAAATGTCTCTCACAGCCTTGTGGTCTGCTCTTAGATTTTTCAACTTTGTCGCAACAATTGCCGATGTTATGCTATTGTGGATTAAGTCCCGCATTCTCTCTGCTATCCTTTCGTGGACACCAGCCTTCTGACGATACAATTTATCTTCAATTTTTTCGGCGATTTCTGGCTCCTTCCAGATATCTATTAAATATTCCTGCGTATACGTCCAGAGATGGCGTTTCTTTACTGACTTTTCAGCCATCAATTGCAAAATAAGACTTGTTGAAATTAAAGTACACAAGTCAGGGAGACTGCGTCAATTCTGAATGGTGTTTATGACAGTAACTAAAAAACACGCTAACCAGCAAGCATGGAAGGTCACTTTGCTTCAATTTGATTGGTGTATTCGTGACCTGTGGCCACCCGCTGTTTAAATGTTTACTGGCTTTAGGCTGACGGGCTTAGTCGAGTTGTGGCCTTCATCTCGCCATACTTGAGCGGTCATACTCAAACCTTCTGCACAGCGATCACAACGGCTTCCTGCAAAGTTACTCTTACACAAACACTCCGACGTTGTCTTGTTGCATACCTCACGTACTGTACCTTGCGTATCACAGTCGCAGGCTAAAAGACAATAATTTTATTACTATATTGAGACTACGTTCAGACTTGGAGATAAGCCAGGCTTGAGTTAAGCCCAGTTTAACGTTAAGTCCGGCTTAACTTTGCCAGGCGTTCAGACTAGTGGGTTTAGCTAGGCGAGAATTTGCATAATAATGAACCGTAACCAGGAAACATGTTTCAAACATTACTCGCGAAACTTATGCTCGCTCACAACATACGTAATTGAATGCTGATTGGTCATTTCGTCACCCGAAGTCAATGCAAGGACCCCCGCAACGATTAAAGCCCGGCTTAGAAAAGTTAAACAGGGTGGCGCGCCAGGCCTAGTTACTATAGGAACATAGCCCGGCTTGAGATAAGCCACCTAGTTCAGACTGGCAGGTGGATAAACCTGGTGAGTTGAGCCAGGTTTATCCACCTAGTCTGAACTAGGCCTCAAATTAATTTTACCTATTTTAAATCAAAATTTTCTAAAGAATCATTTTAAATTAAGCTTTACTAAATGCCACACTGTTTGCTTTGAAAAGGCATGCTTAACACTCTGACCGCCAGCGGTTTGATTAAATAGTATCAGCCACCGCCAGACATTTTAGCAAATTTTAACACTTTTCCGAAGCTCGTTGAGAGTGTGTACATGATCAGATTGGCATGTAGTGAACACTACAAGAACTACAAACATGTTAGCTTTACAATGGTACCAAACATTTATTCTAATCACAATCGGTGACCCGTAACAGTAAAATGACTCACTTTTGGAGATTTACGCAATTTTGCACAACGAAGCTGAGATAATAGCGATTTCGTGAAAGTAAATTAATACTGCACAACGCTAATGTAAAGAAACAAATAGCGGACTACTATGGTCCAGACTGAATATAGTGTTATAATTGTCAGTACATGTTGGTAATTACCCCATCTATCAGATTCCGTTAAAAAACCTGAAACACGGAGATCTCCGTGTTTGGCGGTCGAGCGTTGCGTCAGCAAACACGGAGATCTCCGTGTTTGGCGGCCAGAGTGTTAAAGGGCAAGTAGGCTGAATCATTTAATCTACAGGCGGTAGGCAGTACAGCCATTATGCATATATTTCTTTTTTTCCTTCGCTCTACGATGTTCAGTGCCTTCTTCATATCTATGTCTACAATTACTTCTTTGCTACCTGGGCCACAACATGCTAGTACACTTCTTCTAGCCTTGTGTTCACTACATAACCCGGCCTCAATAAGGCAGTAGGCCTGATTACACAGTATTTTGGTCCTTTCTAGGACAGGTCTAGGCATGGCATCATGTCTCGTAGGCATGCCAGCTGCATCACACTTCAACCTCATGAAAAAGCAGCCTTTTTTCTTAATTTGGAGATTTCTTTTTTTTAATAAAATCTGTGTTAAACCTTACAATTACATGACCAGCAAATTAATTACATGACAAGAATTCAGTAAGATCATGTGCACAGTATTTGAGTTTTTGTGTTTAATATAATACACAAAACAAGTGAGATAAAAGTTTTCCACAGTCCCAAGAGTAAACATCTATATTTTAATTAGAAGAAAACAAGGCTTGGAATCTGTGGTTTATGATAGCCCTATGCCACAAATAAAGGCAGCAATCCATATAAATATCAAAATTACCAGTTCTACAAACAAGAGCATTGTACTTACCAACACAATCAAATTCACTGTAATATCCATCACTACACTGATCACAAGCACGCCCTGCAAAGTTTTGTTGACATCTACACTGTCCAGTAGTTGGTTCACATGTAGGACTCACAATACCAGCAAAATTACATCCACATGCTAAGAATTAAGATACAACATTACTAAATGTGAGAACTTCTAAAACAACTTGATTAAATCAGAGAATTTTGTATATAATATTTTTTAAACCATGATATAAAATTAATTAAATGGTTACTAAAGCTTTTTCTTCCATTTTTTAGGAAAAAAAATAGCTACTTTGGCTTCTATATTATATAGTGTATGTACTCAAACTCTTACCCATAATTGTATAGGAGGCCTATGTTTATAAACTTTTATAAACATGTGTACATTTATAACTTATATTAATTATAACAATTTTCAACCTTCTAATGAATTTATACAGCCAGATTTAGCTTCGACCTAGTTAACATTGCTAAAAAAAAAAAAATTAAACAGCTTATAAAAATAGAATGCATGCACAGGATTCAATCATTCTGCATATGAAATTTTTTTTAAATGTAAATGATAGGCACCAAGCAAAAGAGTAAGTTTCATGAATTATACTACTATATACATATACATATATATATATACATATATATACATATATATATATATATACATATACATACATACATTATATATATAAACATATATATATATACATATACATATATACACATATATATATGTATATATATATATACATATACATATATACACATATATATATGTATATATATATATACATATACATATATACATATATACACATATATATATGTATATATATATATATATACATATACATATATACACATATATATATGCATATATATACATATACATATATATACATATTATACATATATATAATATCAGTATTTTAAAGAAATATATCTTACGAGTGCACTCTGGAAAGTTGTAGAACCCAGGGGCACACACATCACAGTTGAGGCCTCCATAGTTATACTTGCACGGACATTGCCCTCCATTGGCTTGGCACAGCGCCTCATGGGTGCCTTGAATGTGGCAATCGCAAGCTAAAATATTGAATAAAAGAGATGCTTTCCATATTGCAAGCTATTTAGCACAATGTGCATGTTAAAAAACGCAGTACATGCTTCGGGAAAAAAAAAGAGTATGGGATTGTCTCTCGGTGTACTGACCAATCACCACCGGAATGACCGCAGTGGAAATAAGGCTTCTTCAGACTTTCATGGGTTATCCTTAATGTTTAGACTGAATAAATCCATCCATACGTACTAAGTTGTGAAAGTGACAATATCAATCTTCATTTTATATTATACCAGCGTGGTGGCTAAGGCTGAAACTGTATCCAAGCCATTAGTTTACATAGCTTTTGAATGTTGAGTTTTCACATTTTTCATAACATTAAATTATAATTCATGTCCATCAGCTGTTTGGCAAGTCAAGTTTGCTTGTTTACAAACAATGACAAACAAAAACAAACAACATGTCTATGATTGCAAAGGTTCCTATTAAAGTTCATAGAAAACAACATAAACTGTTACCTTTACACTCAGGAAAACTGTAATACCCTGGACTACAATCAGAGCATCCATCACCAGTAAACTGCGGTTTACATTCACACAAGCCAGTCGAAGGAGCACAGTTGCCAGTTGAGAAGTAAGGATCACATTCACACCCTGCCAAAACAAAAAAATGCATCATATAATTTTAAACTAATGAAATCCTTTCTAAAAAAACATGTTCTTACTATTACTTTGACATGACTTATTCACAATGGCCGATTTACTATAGGGAACATTAATCATGCACAATTTTAATTAATATATTCACTCACTGATTCTTTTACCATTTTATAGCTCTTATTTTACTGTTTAAGGCGCGATCGACAAATTATTCAAAACGACAAGAACGCGTTCAGCTAAACGGGCTATGCCAAAAGCGTCTGGCAAATCAATCGTCCTTTAAAACAACTTTATGAATATTCATTAGCTAAGCTCCACCGTTCACAAGACACGTCTGAGCGGTTCGAACCTTCCAGACGCGTCGGAACGGTTTGCGGAGGCTTTTGTTATTGTTCATAGCCCATCGTTCGATCCGTCCAGACGCGTCCGAACGGTTTGCGGAAGCTTTTGTTACTGTTCATAGCCTATCGTTCGGACACGTTTTTTACGTTCCTATTATTTTATTTTACTACAGTATGTTTTAATGCTACAGTATTGCGGGTATCGTTGAAATGCAGTCCGTTTGAACTACAGTTGGCAGAAGTGTAGGCCTAGGTTAGGCATAGGGCCTATCTAACGTAATCCTACTAGGCCTAATAATATTTAATAGGCTAGCCTATACTAGGGACTAAAATATAGGCCAGGCCTAGGGTTAAGGTAAAAATAATTCAAAAATAATAGCCTGTAGACCTAGGCTTACATCTTGACTGTTAAGGCCCTTTTTGGCAGGAAATAAATGTATGTGGTGTAGGCCTCCCCGATGCCTAGACAGTTTCAACTTTGACCGGATTACTTCAAAAATGTACTTGTCCCAATGGCTCGGATGCTTTGCCTTTATACGCTGCTGTGTGTGAAATGTTGGAAGTATACCAACTGATACTAAAAATAGCACATACTAAAAATAGGCTTCTATAAAATTAGGCTAGGTCACTCGGTATGCCACAGATCCTATGGGTATGCGTACGATGTTCAATTTAATCATCGGAAAAATTTGATGATAGGTCTGAATGATGGTTTTTGTTTTATTTTTATAGAGTAGGCATGCCTATGTTTAGAAGTTATTGCAGCCGTGTAATCAGCTAAAAATAAATCACTTGCAATAAATTGATTTGACATGGATTGACTCTTCTTTCGTAAATTTGTGATGAAATTTAAATAAATGTTTTTCTTTTGCTATTTAGTTGTTTTTTTTAAATTTTATATAGGTCTAGTATTAATATTATTTTTTTGCAGCCAGGATTATATTTTACATCTACACTATATTTTACATTTACCATGGAAACATCCAAATCCTTTCTAGAACCTATTGGCATTTTTCGGGGGTATGTGTTTCCTTAGCGACGAGCGTTACCGTCGGTCATTGGCCAGCAGTACGACTGCGACGTCATTAGGCAGTTGGTGGACTGCATGTTCAGTGCAGACAAACTTAGCAGGTGCAATTTAAACGGCACAGCCGTTGTAGTGCATGGGGAGAAGATAGAGCATGAGCCTCTCTCCCCCAATAGGATGCTGGCTATATTTGGACAAGTGAAAACAGAGTTTCCAGGGTCAACTGCTAAGTGCGATAAGGCCCTGAAGGAGGCAGTAAACGGCAAGTTCCGTGCTCACCGCTTCAACAATAAACCCAGTCGTCTGTAATCACTTGTTGTATTGTAAAATATTGTACATACTGTAATTTAATTCAACATTTTGTCAAATTAAACTATGTTGTTACCAAAAAAGTGTTTCCTTTCATTTGTACTTGTTTTGTTGCATATTATGATTTATTTGAAGAGTGAAAGTGTTTGAATGTGTGCGTGTTTTGCTGCATAACATTTTGTGAGATATAAACAACAATCATAATAATAATGATGATGGTGGTGGTAAGGTGTAATACATAGCTTAATAATAGCTAATATTAATACAGGTCTCCCTTCAATTTAATACCACTTTTGGGACCAGGGTTTCGATGGTCTTTAGCAGCTTTGGTCTCTAATTAAAATAATAAAGATGAAAACCATTTGTTCGAATTCTGAGTTTATGTATCGTGATGTGACCAAAAAAAGTTTTTAAAAATCGCTAATAAACATAATAACCACCAAACAAAAGAAGCAATTAATAATAATAATAATAATAATAATAATAATAATAATAATAATAATAATACTGTAATAATAATAATAACAATAACAATAACAATAATAATAATAATGGAAACCACGAACAGGATACAAAATTAAAGTAAAGCATAATTTAAATCAAATAAAAACTGGTATATTTATCATCTTGGTATTTTTATTCACATAATAAAATATATATATAGGCCTGCATAAAATAATACATTGTAGTTGAGAAACTAAATTGCGCAACGTTTTTAAGATGAAAATCAAACAATAGGATATAATGATGAGTTGGCCTAGGATACATTTTTTAAGATGAAAATAATCCCACTACAAATTTAAAAACACGGAATTAAGGAAAATATACAAATGAAGAATTTATTTTGTCGACGAAGACAGTGTACTTGAAATAGGAGACAAGCATTCCGATTGCCAATCTTATAATAATATGCGTGTATCTAAAACTAATTCGATGCGCGTCTAGTAAAGGCCGGGTCAGTCACTAAAAATAGACAGTTGAGAATGTTGCATTCACAACCAGTCTATTTATAGTGACAGTCAAGGGAGGTCATATACTAAAAATAGACTGTTGATAACTGTGTGAAAATTCTTAGCCAAAAACGGAGACCCGAGTGAAAAAAATCTCAGGCAAGAAGATGTAAGTAGGCCTACTACTGTGTTAGCGATGTTCTTGAAATTTTCAGCAAATGGTTTGGTCTATTAAAATATTTCGATTATGAATTAGTTGTATGACCAGAATTAATTTGACCGGAAACTTGTATGCAAGACGTTCGCAAAGCGGGTAAACGTTCGGACTTGAGTATAGGGAAGATGCCAAGAGAGCGTCTAGACACGTTTTACAATGCATGCACTCGGCCATTTTAAAAGGGGAGGAGCAAAGTCCAAACGGAATATCGGCGTCCAAACGGTGCCCTATCCAAACGTGTTTTCAGACACGTTTTGGTATAACAATAGAAAACACGTCTGGACACAGATTTGTCGTTTGGAATAATTTGTCGATCGCGCCTAACACTGTAGTAATAACTAAAAATTTGGCTTGTCAATGTCACAAATGTTTCATTATCGTGCTTGTTAAATGCACTACTTACTTCTACAAACATATGGCGAGTCAAGTGGTTCTCCTTGTACACGGTAGAATCCAGCAATGCATTCATTGCAGTTTATTCCCTGGGTATTATCCTGCATCGATAAATAAAAACATTTTTACTTTAAAAAATTAAAAATATATATTATACATACATGTTAACTTAATGATTCAGGTGAGAAAATGCAAGTTCAATAGGGATGTGGATTTACTAAAGAATGCTGGCCAAAATCTTGCCAGACCTAGGCGAGAGACAAGAAATGCAAGCATGCAATCACCCTGAGAAACTTATTGTATAAGCTGTGCTTCTACAATAATATACTTTATCATTATGAGCACAGATATAAAACTAACATTTTTTCACAAAAATATTGTGAGATATTTATATATTTTCATAATATTCACTATTACAGAGATCCCAAGTTTGAAAACCAAAAAATAGGGAGATTTTTTTCGTGAAGCGATCGCCTCCTGTAGCGACGCGCTGTGACGCCTTACAACGCGCTGTGCAATGTGAAAGTATTACACAAAATGAAGAAAACAAACAATTTTCATCAATTCGTTTACTTTTATTTAACAATTTTACATTTGTTTACACATTGCAGTTGGCCTAAAATATAAATTTATAAATATTATTATTTATTTAGCATTTTGCTAGTAAAGCGTTCTTGGCAGCAGTCAACAAGGCTTTGCTTGGTTCATTGGGATATTAGAGGCTATGGCTGATTTATTACATCTCATCAAAGAACATAGAATTCTAGCAAGATAACTGCAACTTGCAAGATTCACACGTTTGCTGAAAAATTAAAAAATAGTGTATATATATATATATATATATATTTTAATTTATTTAGTAAATCATACTACATGTTTTAAGTCAGCATTTATATATGTCTAGCCTATAATAACTGGTACATAATGCCATGAAAAAACATTAAATCCTGCCTCGCTAGGCTCCATCTATACGTGCGTAACTAGACCTAAGACCGCAGAGTTACAATCACCACTACAAACAGACGCCCATACACACATACATACCCTGCAGTGCAGATAGAGCCTAGGCCTATTTCGGGATCGATATTGAAATAAACTTCATTTTTCGCAAGAATGCTTAGTACCAAAACCTATTAACTATAATTTTTTTTAGTATTGTTATTAAAGAACTGAAGCTTACTTGAAAGAAAAAGTATTTTTTATGCACCGATTCTGTTCCAAATCTTCGCGACGAAAACTTGGGGCCCCATCCATTCCCATGTGATTTCTGATTTCGTTAATTTGTTGAAACTTATTTACTCAACTGACAGCCATCTCATTGAATGAGGTCGGCGCTGGATCAAAAGATGTAACATGGAGGATAAACAAGGCGGTTCTACCACGGATCTAGGCCTAGCTGCCTTGCCCTGGAGTTGTTATTTTGATAAACAACTTAAATAACAACTCCCTGGCCTTATTTATGACATTTTATGGCTGAGCGAGCGCCATAGTATATTGGCTTAAGATAAGAAATTTTGTTTCATTGCTCTATGACATTGTGGAAATCACATTTTTCGTGAATTTTTCAGGATATTTTAAAAAATCGGGAGATATTAATAAAAATCGGGAGGGCGGGAGGCGGCCTCAAAAATCTGAAGAAAACCCGCGATTTTCGGGAGACTTGGAATCTCTGCTATTACACTAAAATAACGCATAGGCTAATGCCAACTTTGAATAGCACAGTAGTACGCTGTCTAATGATGAAGAACGAATTACTTCAGACCTATGACAGATAAAGAAGAGGATGCCAGCAGCACTCAGGATATACAGAGTGTTGAATTACTAACCACATTGATATTAAAAACTGTCAGTAATAATACAGATGAATATATAATATAATATATATAATACAAAGGTTGCTGAAGTAGAATGTACCTATGTTCAAGAAAGGCCTTAACGTTCAGCCAAAATATGTCTGCTGTTGCCCTGAATAGGAGATTTTTATGTTTTAAACTCAGGAAGCAAGAAGCTGCCACAAATCAAACAGCTTTATAATAAAGCTGGCAGCTCCTTTAAGACAGACTTTGCTGGCATTTATGACCTATCTTTTAAAACTATAGTTACTTACCCTACAGTTGGTACAAACTCCTCCTCCCGAATAGTTACCGTGGATATCAATCGACTCGGAACGTAATGCTACCCCTTCATCATACACACATTCGTTAGAATGTCCATAGCAGTTACATGCTGTTGAAAGTACAATAATGCATATTTTAACACATTTCTAAAACCATAATGAGAAATGATGTGGAGAGTTCAGGGCTTGTAAAACTAAAACTTTACTTTATTTTCTCTTTTTGTCTATCATTTTTGAGTTGTCAAATTGGGCCCCTACGTATCAGCTGTGCTGGAAAGGGTCTCTCACTTTAAATATTGTTGAAATAAAAAAAAATAAACACTGTGACAGAATGTTAACCATAACTAGACAGAGTCTTACTGTATAGTATTCCTGTGTAAAAGGTGATCCCCGAGTTTGAGAAGATATTTGGACTATCTTTGTATGTCCACCCCAACACCCCCCCCCCTATTCTACCGTTGGAATTCCTACATTTTGCTGCTTTTTATGGTCTTGATACAGCATCTACCTGGCTAAAAACGGAGGCAAATGTAGGGCTACAGTAATCTTCCAAATACCATATTATGAGCATCAAAATCTTATTTCCCCACATTTAAAATTGCATTCATTCATACTAACATTTAGTAGCTTCATTGCAGTAGTAGTAAATTTGCATGTTACGGACAATCCGTAAAACAAAGATTGTATGTGTTGCACGTATAATTAGATTTTCAATCGTAATTTGCTATTTTAAGTATTTTAATATATGGTACTTTTTATACTTTCATAAACCCTACTGCTATTAGTATACCCTCACAAGTTCTTGCCTACCACAACTTGTCAATTTAAAGAAGACTAGAAACAAAATCATTATTAATTTAAAGATGTTCTTACGTTCACATTCATTGGCACTCTCTGGCGACGCTGGTCTCCATTCCTTCTGAACAAAGCCAGGACAACACTGCTCACATTCTGCACCACAGGTATTGTGGGAACACGTACACATGGACCGTTCTGGATTTCCCGGAACTGGGGTATCGCAGGAGTTGGCATGTCCATTGCATACACAACGTCCACCAATCGAAATATCTTTAATACTGTAGAAGTATCTCCTGGTTACAGTTGGATCCTGTTGCTGTTTTGCCATCAGATGACCAAGAAGTGTTTTGGTTTGTATGAGGCGAAGACGAACATTTGTGGCACTTGTAAATTCTTGGAGGACCGGAGAGTCATAAAAAGTTCTGGCTCCTGGGCGCCCATTTATAAGCGACACAACAATCTGCAAATCAACCAAATGTTTATATCTAAATACCTGTACCACAATTAAAAATATATTGTAACCTAAATCTTAAATGGAATATCAATTTGTATACTGTACTTCATTAGCTCAGAAAATATCGGGCAGCGAATTAAAGATTTTTCTTGATCTGTGATTTATTGAAAATTAATAGCTCATGTTGTTCATGTAAGGGGGGGTTAAAATAATTTTATTATAATTTCTTAGGTTTATTATTATTATTATCATTATCATCATTATTGTCATTATCATCCTCATCATCATATTGGGTATCAAACATCATTAAAAATTTACCTCTCCATCCTCAAGCGGCACAATTGCAGAGTATTCAGTTGTACAAATAACATCATCATCAGAAGTAAGTTGGTCATCAGAATCTATACCAAAAAAGTTGAAGCAATCGCTAGGAGTATCTGCAAAGTATTGCCAAGGTTCATAGCTCTCTCCATAATCAACTGATTTTTCTAGAACCCACACACCCGGTCTTGGAGAGTTTGCAAACTTGATGATAACATACGCCACATTGAAAAGCTGCACAACAAGAATAACAATCATAAAATGCAAGATGGATTACAAGGAAAGATTACAGAAAGCAAGCTTACGATATTTATTTTTCAATTACATTCATATGCCACACTTAGGAGCAAACACTTATTTCATGTAAACCCAATGGCACCTGAGTAGTAGGCCTACTGTACACCTCAACTTGCGCAGCGTCCACTATTGATGAGTAATAAGAATTTTTAGTTAATCGTGCACTGAAGATGTACAACTTACTGTAGGTCAATGCAAAGATCAAAGGTCAAAATAAGGTTTTTGAATGTTTTCATGGTCAAGGGTCAAAGGTCAAAATGATGATTTTCGTTCATCTTACAAGTATTACAAGTAATGTATCGTCCATACAAGGCGTACATAAAACTGAGGTTTTGTTGAACCGAGATACATAAAAATGAGGTTATCTTGTATGTTCTGCTTGCACAAAAGAGACTACTGTAGATTACAGTAGCATGTCTTAAAAACATGAACTAACCAGTAGAATGATTTTTTTTTTTTTATTTTAATGGATTTTAGTTTGCGCAAAATATTAGCGGGCTTATGATTACAGGTAATTTGAAACACTTTTTATGATGAACAAACCATACACAATGTGGAAATACTGTAAAACCACTAATGATTAAAATAATTAAATACTGTATGTGTCACAATAAAAGACTAGAACACTGGAACTTACAGGGGTTGGTCTGCCCCTTCCCTCCCCCACTAGAACACTTCCCCAGGACCCCACTGGAGGCCCGGGTGTCTAGCTACAATACAGTATCCAACCATCACTTCCCACTAAGCCCAATCCCCAGCACCTGGTCTTGATCGGCCCTTTGAAGTTTGATGTGGGGTATGAAACAGGCGAGTTGAATGGCAGGGGCGTCGTAAACTACAACCATATCAGTCGTGTAGCGAAGGGGGGCCCAGAGGCCCCCGGGCAGAGGCCCTTTAGGGGCTAAAGACGCTGGTGACCAAGGGCCACGAAGGACCCCAATTCTATGACGTATTTCAATGCCTTTTTACACGTTCGAATTCTGAGTTTATGTATCGTGATGTGACCAAAAAAAGTTTTAACTAAAAAAATCGCTAATAAACATACCAATAACCACCAAACAAAAGAAACAATTAAAATCAATAAATATTTAGACAAAAACACATCATACTCATGTGTCAATGCTTTTGCTGATGAAACAAGTCTATAAAAACTATAAACTGTAGGCCCAGTGTACACATTGGTGCATGTGCACTATAAAGAACCCATTACATCTTTCCAGACAAGTTGTGGTTACCCTGGTGTGAACTTATCCAGATGCTGAACAGCCACTGATGAGTAATAAAATTAGAATCAAGAATGTGCACTCTTACAAGCCACAGGTTTCATTTATAAAAATAATAAACAAATATTTGCTTAATACATGTATATTTAAACCATAAAACAATGTTTTCAGTAGAACTTGATGAAGTTTACATGCTCCTGTAACCATCATCCCCAACTCACCATCACCTTGAAATGTTGACTAAAACCTTTTTGAAGGGCAAAACCCAATCCCCTAGCACCTAATTGGATGATGCTGGTTTGAACAAGTTGGCCTTGAGTTTAAATGTAAACAGCTTTGAAGCAAGCAGTGGCAAGTTTCCATTGCTGATCAGGAAAGTGAGGGTTAATTAAACCATTGGTCTACCCCATACATGCAATGCATCTGAATATCAGTCAGAAATTTATTAGAATCACTTGTGTAAATCTACAAATCGTTAATTAATGTTATATGTCCATTCAACAGGGGGTAAAAGTAGATATAAAAAGAAATATATCTACAACTATAAGAACACATTTAGGGCATGCTCGCAACCAGTTTCAAGTGAAAATTGTTTTTGTTTTTTTTTTAGCACATCAGCCCTCTTCATTTCAACTAAATCTGTTTATTTAAATGTTTTTAGGTTTTTAGGATTTTATTGTTTGATTTGATTTGGAATAAATAATGTTTATTATTTAAATTTGAATTTAAATAAGAACATGGGACTGAAATTGCTTAAAAAATATTAAGAAATTAAGGCAAAGGTAAAATGTCAAATGAGGTTTTCATTTAAAAAACTATAAAGCTAGTCACATACAGTACTGCACAGTAATTCTTAAATGTTTTTATGTGTGTAAAAATAAGAATAAAATAAGAACATTTTGAGCCTGAAATCGGCAAAAAAATAAGAACACTGGTTCTTATAAAAAAAAAGTGTACATTGGTGTAATTACAGTATGTAATATAATCCTCCCTAATGCAGTACATTAATATACGGTACCTGTACAGTACTGCTGTACTATATTATATAAATGTTTTAATAATAGTTATAAAATTAAGACCATTTTTTGGGACGCCAAAAAGAACATTTCTTTTTTGTGGGCCCCGTTTCTACTGCCACAAAGAACTGTTCTTAACAAAAGCGACCGCTCACCAGTCTGCGCATTCCTCCACGCTCAAGATTATAGTTATTATATTGGGGTTTTTCGAAGAGCTATAAGATAGAAATTTTTTAATAATTAGGATGAATATTAAATATTACTTACAACGTTCATTTGTACAAAATTAAAATATCCTATAATTTTTTAAAATAAAATTTCTTAAAATTGAAAAAAAAATTGAATACCAAGATGCAATTCGATCTCACAACCTCAAGTTCTTTACTGTAGAAAGCATCCTTAACCAACCGCACCATCATCCATGCGATGTGCCCTATTAGTGATAATGGAAGTAATGTACAGTCCTTACTGAAACCAGTTTGTTTTGTTGTAGGTATAGGGGGGAACCCTGGGGTCCAACTTAAAAAAGGGCGATGAATCCTTTTTGGAAATTACGTCTAGTTTTATGTGTACAAAATTTTCTGCACGTATGTTTAAAACTGGCGACGCTGGACGCTTTTTGGTAACAAGAACAAGAACAGCAGTGAGGCTCTAGGGTCAACGCCTTGCGCAGAACCAAAAAGGGTGGTTCTTATACAGAGCAGTTCTTTCTCGTCAGTAGAAACAAGCAGTGTCTTATCACCCATATTGGTATAGTGTTGTTTTTTTTTCTTTCAGGTTTTAACAGGGCACACAGTTATTTGTATCAGGAGTAACGATTATCGCCTAAATAGTAAATATGAACAGACCCAACTTATTTTGGGTGAGGCTACTTTAGGTTATAATACACCAGGTGGAGAGCATTTCCAGAACAGTTGTTATCTGTTAGTTGAATTATTTGCAATGCTAAATGTCTTCATGCTTATGGAATGCACTGGCTTGAGGCAAGGGAGGAATGCTATCTGATTCTGTCTATAGCATGCAAGGAATTTGACCTCAAAGTGTATAGGCAAAATTATAAGATTTTTTTTTTGGCAATAATGTACAGAATTCATTCAGAACACCAGAAAACTATAATTTTGAATTGTCCATCTATGGTATTAACACAAAACAGCTTCATTGGGATCAATCATGAATTTCTTTTTTAGGAACCCTGAAAAAGAGAGGTGTAAAGGGAAATATGTTGGGTAGGCCTACAGTTAAATTACTAGCTTGCGTAAAATTTGGCAAAAATCTAATTTACCCTTAAAATTGTTTGGTGTGTAAAAAACTAGTCCTTGTTATTTATGAATATTTTCCATCGGGAAGCCTAGGCCCCTTGTCAGCGAAAAGGGTAGATTTCACCGGGAATGGAAAAATGTAAAACGAGGACATCAATGATGCCCTCATAAGTGATGCCCTCTTCCTTAATCTGTTCTCCAAACTAAACTTGCTGTGATGTTTTAATCGAAATTTGCCGCAACTTAATTGCCGTGGTGTTTCAAACTACCGTATTTGCCATGCGATGTTTTATTTTATTTGCCATGGCACTTATGGGCCACCATACAAAATCAGTTAATAAGCTTTCAACCACCCACTGATCAGAATAACATCTGTGACTTGACCTTACAGTAGGGCCCTGAAAATCAAAATTCAATTCAAGAATTTGTCTTATTTTGTCAAGAATATGGTTAAGTTAAATTGCAATGATATACATACAGCACAAATAGTTACAACTACTGTACAATTACAAACAAAATTAACCTAATTAAATTACAAAAAAAATGCAAATAGGTTGAGTAGGCCTGTGGTTTGAGTATACAGGAAAATAATATGGGAGGTACACTGATGGTGGCACAATTTTATATAATACACTTAAGTACTGTAAAAGGTTCTAGTGTATACAGTAGACTAAATTCATGAAAAAAGCTTTTAATGAAGTGAAATTTTTTAATGCACTAATAATAATTTTCCTCTAGTGTATGATGAACTGCTTTATAATTAATTCCAATTTCCATCACCTCCTTTAGCATTGATAAATACTAAATATTTGATCAAACTGCTATTATAGCAGTCTTTGTTTACATTAGGTTCCTTTCTTGTTGTTGTTGTGGGACTTAATGTGTTTAGTCTGTGCATAATGCCGACGCCTATGTCTGTGCATAAGGCATACTAACTACCCAGGAAGTAGACAAAGTTGCACTTTGTTCTGGTTGACTAATTTACAGAAGTGTCCAAAGATCCTAACAAAAATTGGCGACGACGCGAGTGGAATGGTTTATTGCAAAAATAATATTTATATTGCATAATTTGTATTATTACAGAATTAATAAATATTTATGGTCAAATCTATAGTAAATCAAAAGGGTTTTTTGGTTTTTTTTTTTTTGGTTTTTTTTTTGCTGTCAAAGTACTGTATCATTGTCATGGTGTAGAATTAAATTCACACCTAATTTGTTTCTTTAACAATGGCAGGAAAGGCTGCAGACTAGAATTTGACTGGGTAACAGGCAGCAGACAAAACAGACTTCCGTTCTGTTTCCAAACTATTCCTGTATTACTTTTTGTATGCCCTTAAAAAAGCAAATCCAAGACTAAGTAACTTTCAGAAAAGAATTTCAACCAGCTTACTGCATGAAAAGATTTTGGCCAATTTTCAATATTAAGCATAAAATATATT